CCGGTACCCTGCACCTCCAGATTATTTTAGATGAAATTTGGCTGCTGTACATTTTTTTCTACGTGATAAGCCACTTCGCTGAGCTGTCATTTGTGGCCAGGTCGCTTTCTGAATAAGAAGCTAATAGCTAAGTGGGCCTTTACCTGATAAAATAAAGCAAAAGTTGTTTTAGTGATTTTCTTACATTTCCTATACTATTGTCTTTTTGTATTGTTTGTTGCTGTACCATTCTGACCAGCATTTGTGAAAAAGAGCTTCATAGCTCATCGGATTCCGTCAGTATAAATACATATTCTGATTCTGACTCGGTCTCAAATGAGTACTCTCCCTGGCACGGTGTGTAAACATCGCCGCTGGGGAGACAAAGGCGGGCGACCGTGATGCTGGTCACCGACCCACTTGCCCCAATAGTATGTTAAGGCTCTACGGAGGGGGGGGGGGGTCTTTTGTAAATTAATATGAACCTGGTGGGTGGTAGACGCACGCCGCTATTCTTGCACTCGTGTGCTGTACTGTCCTGGTCTGTATTATATTAACTTGGCTGATCAGTGGATGCACGCTGTTGCACTTGCATAAGAATTTGAAGGCAAAGGCAAGCTGGGTGAGTGGTTGTGATAGGGATTGGCGGGGGGTTTAGTGGTAGGGAGTGGGAGTGTTGGTTTGTGGTTGGATAGCGCGCGGTGGTGGCGGCTGGATGCACGCTGTTGCAATTGTGTGTTATGGTGGTAAAGTGATTGTGGCCCGGCCTATGCGTGTGTGTACATAGTGTCAGGGGTAAGGCTGTGTGTAGTGGCAGGGGTAAGGCTGTGTGTGTGTAGTAGCAGGAGTAAGGTTGTGTGTGTGTATAGTGGCAGGAGTAAGGCTGTGTGTGTAGTGGTAGGGGTAAGGTTGTGTGTGTGTGTAGTGGCAGGAGTAAGGCTGTGTGTGTAGTGACAGGAGTAAGGCTGTGTGTGTGTGTAGTGGCAGGGGTAAGGCTGTGTGTGTGTAGTGGCAGGAGTAAGGCTGTGTGTGTGTAGTGTCAGGGGTAAGGCTGTGTGTGTGTAGTGGCAGGGGTAGGGCTGTGTGTGTAGTAGTGGCAGGAGTAAGGCTGTGTGTGTGTAGTGACAGGAGTAAGGCTGTGTGTGTGTGTAGTGACAGGAGTAAGGCTGTGTGTGTGTGTAGTGGCAGGGGTAAGGCTGTGTGTGTGTGGTAGCAGGAGTAAGGCTGTGTGTGTGTAGTGTCAGGGTTAAGGCTGTGTGTGTAGTGTCTGGGGTAAGGCTGTGTGTGTGTAGTGACAGGAGTAAGGCTGTGTGTGTGTGTAGTGACAGGAGTAAGGCTGTGTGTGTGTAGTGGCAGGAGTAAGGCTGTGTGTGTGTAGTGGCAGGGGTAAGGCTGTGTGTGTAGTAGTAGGGTTAAGGCTGTGTGTGTGTGTAGTGGTAGGGTTAAGGCTGTGTATGTGTAGTGTCAGGAGTAAGGCTGTGTGTGTGTAGTGGCAGGGGTAAGGCTGTGTGTGTGCAGTGACAGGAGTAAGGCTGTGTGTGTGTGTAGTGACAGGGGTAAGGCTGTGTGTGTAGTGGCAGGGGTAAGGCTGTGTGTGTGTGTGCAGTGTCAGGAGTAAGGCTGTGTGTGTGTGTAGTGGCAGGAGTAAGGCTGTGTGTGTGTGTGTAGTGGCAGGGGTAAGGCTGTGTGTGTGTAGTGGCAGGAGTAAGGCTGTGTGTGTGTAGTGACAGGATTAAGGCTGTGTGTGTGTAGTGGCAGGAGTAAGGCTGTGTGTGTGTGTAGTGTCCGGGGTAAGGCTGTGTGTGTAGTGGTAGGGGTAAGGCTGTGTGTGTGTGTGTAGTGACAGGAGTAAGGCTGTGTGTGTGTGTAGTGTCCGGGGTAAGGCTGTGTGTGTAGTGGTAGTGGTAAGGCTGTGTGTGTGTAGTGACAGGAGTAAGGCTGTGTGTGTGTAGTGACAGGAGTAAGGCTGTGTGTGTAGTGACAGGAGTAAGGCTGTGTGTGTGTAGTAGCAGGGGTAAGGCTGTGTGTGTAGTGGCAGGAGTTAGGCTGTGTGTGTGTGTAGTGTCAGGGGTAAGGCTGTGTGTGTGGTGGCAGGAGTAAGGATGTGTGTGTGTAGTGACAGGACAGGAGTAAGACTGTGTGTGTGTAGTGGCAGGAGTAAGGCTGTGTGTGTGTAGTGACAGGAGTAAGGCTGTGTGTGTGTAGTGACAGGGGTAAGGCTGTGTGTGTGTGTAGTGGCAGGGGTAAAGCTGTGTGTGTGTAGTGGCAGGGGTAAGGCTGTGTGTGTGTGTAGTGACAGGGGTAAGGCTGTGTGTGTAGTGACAGGAGTAAGGCTGTGTGTGTAGTGACAGGAGTAAGGCTGTGTGTGTAGTGGCAGGAGTAAGGCTGTGTGTGTGTGTAGTGGTAGGGGTAAGGCTGTGTGTGTGTGTGTAGTGACAGGAGTAAGGCTGTGTGTGTGTGTAGTGTCCGGGGTAAGGCTGTGTGTGTAGTGGTAGTGGTAAGGCTGTGTGTGTGTAGTGACAGGAGTAAGGCTGTGTGTGTGTAGTGACAGGAGTAAGGCTGTGTGTGTAGTGACAGGAGTAAGGCTGTGTGTGTGTAGTAGCAGGGGTAAGGCTGTGTGTGTAGTGGCAGGAGTTAGGCTGTGTGTGTGTGTAGTGTCAGGGGTAAGGCTGTGTGTGTGGTGGCAGGAGTAAGGATGTGTGTGTGTAGTGACAGGACAGGAGTAAGACTGTGTGTGTGTAGTGGCAGGAGTAAGGCTGTGTGTGTGTAGTGACAGGAGTAAGGCTGTGTGTGTGTAGTGACAGGAGTAAGGCTGTGTGTGTGTAGTGACAGGGGTAAGGCTGTGTGTGTGTGTAGTGGCAGGGGTAAAGCTGTGTGTGTGTAGTGGCAGGGGTAAGGCTGTGTGTGTGTGTAGTGACAGGGGTAAGGCTGTGTGTGTAGTGACAGGAGTAAGGCTGTGTGTGTAGTGACAGGAGTAAGGCTGTGTGTGTAGTGGCAGGAGTAAGGCTGTGTGTGTAGTGACAGGAGTAAGGCTGTGTGTGTAGTGACAGGAGTAAGGCTGTGTGTGTAGTGACAGGAGTAAGGCTGTGTGTGTGTAGTGACAGGAGTAAGGCTGTGTGTGTGTAGTGACAGGAGTAAGGCTGTGTGTGTGCAGTGGCAGGAGTAAGGCTGTGTGTGTGTAGTGGCAGGAGTAAGGCTGTGTGTGTAGGGGCAGGAGTAAGGCTGTGTGTGTAGTAGCAGGAGTTAGGATGTGTGTGTGTGTAGGGGCAGGAGTAAGGCTGTGTGTGTAGTAGCAGGAGTAAGGCTGTGTGTGTGTGTGGTGGCAGAAGTAAGGCTGTGTGTGTGTAGTGGTAAGGCTGTGTGTGTGTGTAGTTACAGGAGTAAGGCTGTGTGTGTAGGGGCAGGAGTAAGGCTGTGTGTGTGTGTGGTGGCAGAAGTAAGGCTGTGTGTGTGTAGTGGTAAGGCTGTGTGTGTGTAGTGACAGGAGTAAGGCTGTGTGTGTAGTGACAGGAGTAAGGCTGTGTGTGTGTAGTGGCAGGAGTAAGGCTGTGTGTGTGTGTAGGGGCAGGAGTAAGGCTGTGTGTGTAGTGACAGGAGTAAGGCTGTGTGTGTGTGTAGTGGCAGGAGTAAGGCTGTGTGTGTGTGTAGTGGCAGGAGTAAGGCTGTGTGTGTGTAGGGGCAGGAGTAAGGCTGTGTGTGTGTGTATGACAGGAGTAAGGCTGTGTGTGTGTAGTGGCAGGAGTAAGGCTGTGTGTGTAGTGACAGGAGTAAGGCTGTGTGTGTGTAGTGACAGGAGTAAGTCTGTGTGTGTGTAGTGGTAAGGATGTGTGTGTGTGTAGTGACAGGACAGGAGTAAGGCTGTGTGTAGGGGCAGGAGTAAGGCTGTGTGTGTGTAGTAGCAGGAGTAAGGCTGTGTGTATAGTAGCAGGAGTAAGGCTGTGTGTGTGTGTAGTGACAGGAGTAAGGCTGTGTGTGTGTGTGGTGACAGGAGTAAGGCTGTGTGTGTGTAGTAGCAGGAGTAAGGCTGTGTGTATAGTAGCAGGAGTAAGGCTGTGTGTGTGTGGTGACAGGAGTAAGGCTGTGTGTGTGTAGTGACAGGAGTAAGGCTGTGTGTGTGTAGTAGCAGGAGTAAGGCTGTGTGTGTGTATGACAGGAGTAAGGCTGTGTGTGTAGTGAGAGGAGTAAGGCTGTGTGTGTGGTGACAGGAGTAAGGCTGTGTGTGTGTGTAGTGACAGGAGTAAGGCTGTGTGTGTGTGTAGTGACAGGAGTAAGGCTGTGTGTGTGTATGACAGGAGTAAGGCTGTGTGTGTAGTGACAGGAGTATGGCTGTGTGTGTGTAGTGACAGGAGTAAGGCTGTGTGTGTGTAGTGGCAGGGGTAAGGCTGTGTGTGTGTAGTAGCAGGAGTAAGGCTGTGTGTGGGTGCTGCTCGATGTGTTTGGCGGCGGCGGTGGTGGGGGGGAGGCTGCGGGTGTCAGGGCGTGAAGCGGCGATTGGCTCGCGTGACAACAACTCGCGGGGCCAATCGCGAGGCGCGTTCGGGACACTACGCCCTCTTCTCCACACACGCCGGGGCTTTAATACAACAACACCAAAACCTCCCCACCCACCCACCACCGCCACAACTACCGGCGAGCTCGAGGCGGGATCCAATGGGAAGCCCCCTTGCTGCTGCCCTCACCGGCACATTGCCAGGGCGAATGGGGAGAGGCGTTCTTTGACAAAACAACAAAAAAAAGGTGGTGGTGGTGGTGGGGGGGAGAGGAGGGCGAGTGCCGAACGCCACCCCCGCGAGTCTGTTTACATCGCGGGCAAAACGCCGGCTCGCGCGCGGGGGGGGAGCGCGGCGCAAAGTGCGGAGTGGATCGACGGAAGCGATAAAGTGGAACTGGACTACTTCCCAATAGCGGCGTCTTCGACTTCTTGCCACCAGCCAAACGCCGCGTCCCCCTCCTCCTCACCCTCCACCACCTCCTCATTCCACACCTTTCTCGTTGTCGCATGAACGGTACGTAAACTGGCTCGGGGGAGACGCGGCGGCGGCATTGCCGCCGCATCGTGCGGTTTAAAACGAGGAATGTGTTTGGGGGAGGCGAGAGAGAGAGATGTTAGCGGTGGGGCGTGTGGGCGAGTGAGGCCGCGCGACGCCGGTTTTTTGCGGATCCGCGGATTCCGCGCCGGGTTTCGCGATCCGCATTTTCGGTGAAGGAGTGGTGGATGATGATGGTGGTGGTGGTGAGTGGGGGGGGGAGTCGCTTCGGGTTCGTGATGAAAACAACGCGCGCCGCCCGGCTTTGCAGTTTTAGCGGCAGCGATAACAAACAGCCCCCCTCACTAACACTTTAAACAGCGATACTTGCGGCGGCGGTGGCGGCGACGCGAGAGAGAGAGAAAAGTACTTGTCCGTGCGTTTCGATACCTCATCTAATACGGATACTTTTGAGGGGGTGGTGGTGGTGGTTTGGGGGGCGGCGGCGTTCGTTCGTTCATCGTAGAGAACCGGGGTGGTTGTGTTTTTTAAAGCAATCTTGCGGCGCAAGCGACGACTTTAGTTGTGTTCGTGTGTATGTGTGTGTGTGTACACCGGTGCACGCCGCGTGTGTGTGTGTCGGTGCGTACGGGTCCGCGTGGAGGCCGGGTTAGTAGTCTTCGTTTTTAGCGGGAGGAGGAGGAGGTGGTGGTGGAGGGGTGGGTGGGGAGGAGCCCCCCCCCCACACCTCACTCAGTATAAAATATATTAGTTTGTTTTTTTGCTCTCGGACAACGCACGTGTTTTCTTTTTAAATACCAGCAAAAAGGCACGAGATCAACAACAACAACAACAACCTATAATAACAACTACAAGTAAGCTAAATAGATATCAAATTCCTCGCCAGCAATCAAAATTTGTTTTAAATTATAGTTCGCCCGGGGTGGGGGGGCGTAGGGATTCTTCCCGTTGCTGATCCCACCACCACTACCACAACCACTACCACCACAACCACCACAATCACAACCACCACCACTACCATCACCATAACCACCACCACAATGAGCTCGGCACGACACGGCAGGGCCCCGACTCCGTCTCACCCGGGCGCAGTCGGCATCGCCGGGGCCGGCGGTGGCCGTCCTCCCTCTTGCCCCGTCGGGGTCAAGGTCGAGGTCACGTCACGAGGAGTCGACGATCCGGGCTCGGAGCCGGGCGGTGGTGACGGCTGCCGCAACGGAGATTCCGGCTTCCCGGGTCGTCGCAAGGTAGGGGGGGGGGGACGACCCTGGGGTGGGTTGCAGTGGGGTGGTGGTGGCTCCTTGGTTGCATTGAATTCTGACCGAGGCTTCACATGTCCACAGAGTGCTGTAGTACAACCAAGCCACTCCACCAGCACCTCTTCAGCCCCCCCCCAACACCTCTCTCCGTGTAACGAGAAGCTTATGTGGAGTTGAGCTTGGCTAGTGCGAGGATTGGGCGAACACCGGTGCAGTGATCGCACGCCGCCGCCGCCGCTGCTGTTGTTGTTGTTTATAGGTCGCTTCCGTGGCTTGGATAGTGAGCGAGGGTGTTACGGCAAACATCATCCCCCGTTGTGTTGTGCCCCCTACGCAGTTACAGTAACTCCTCCTTGCAGCAGGCTTTTCCCGCCTTTACCGACCGGCACTGACCAGCGTGGTGAAGTATGGTCAAACGAGCGCCGCCGTGGTTGGGGAGGCCTGTAACGTGTTGACGTGTCCATAAACGCGCGTGCTGCGTTGACGTGATAGCTAAGTGATGATTACGCGTTTATACACAGTACTTACAGTATGCATATTGCATGCATCTTCGTGCGAGTGCAGTAGTTTGTTTTGAAATGTGCGTGTGTGCAATTGTATGTTAATGCAGGTTGGTTTAATTGTTCCGTGGGGGAAGAGGCTGGGGAGGTAATAGCGAAGTGATTTGACGTGCACGCATCGGCAGCACAACGCGCGTCGCGATGCGTTCTGCAATGTACGTGTCGACACTTCACGTGGCCTCGAAGTGCACCTAGCCTGGCACGAGCGCCGTGGTCGCGTCACCGCTGCTCGGTAGCGAATGGCGAGTCTGTTGTCCGTACTGAATGTTAGACTAGCATTGCAATACGAGAGAGTGGACAATGATGGGCCGTTCATCCTCGGCCATGATCAATCCACCGTTGGATGAATCCCTTTCGAGAGCAGTCGCTACAATGATGCCACCACATTGCACCCAGCAACCCCCAACCTGCACCCGAGCAGATTCCATCGGCCACGTTAGTAACCTCCTTCCCTTGGCTGCCGCCTCTCCCCCCACCCCCCCCCCCCGTCATTATCCTTCGCCACCGGCCATCAACCATCAAGGCCCTTTCCGGCCATGACGTGCCCGGTTCCCAATATTCGCTTCCTTTTCACCGGTAAGATTGACGCTTCTGAACCGAGTTATGTTTCTTCTCGTCCTTGTGTTCCTCGTTCTCCGTCTCGGTTTGTAATTCCGTTGGGTGTTTGTTGTTTTGTAGTTGGTTCGAGTAGTGCCGCATTTGCAAACCATAACAAACCAAAGCGCAACCCTGCCCCCCCCCCCTCACAACTACTTTCTGTAGGATGGGGAAGGGGGAGGACGCATGCAAAACTGGGTTAGGAGATTAGCCAGGACTGTGTTGTTGGAAGTGTGGGGTGTTGGTTGTTGATGTAGTTATTCTCGAGGTTCCGAAGCTCATTCCATTAAGCAGTTATTTATTTCCAAACTCTTGTTTGCCAAGCGGCCAGCCTCCTAGACCTTTGCCTGTGTTGTTAGCATTTATGCGCGTGTGTGTCATAGCACACACACGTGCCACCTGCGTTGTTACAACACGTAGGCCGTTATGAGCTTTTATTTTTTGTGACCCTTAAGTGCTTTCTATCGGTGTGTGGCGACACACTCCACGGGAGGCAAAATGCTTGCTTGACTGATGACGAAGATCGTGTAATTTGTACTTGGCACGAGAGTTAAGTTGTGTAACTTTACGATGACCCTACCTCGGGTGAAATCGGTCAACTTAAGTGTCGTAATTTTTGGTGGTGCAAATTTGAAAATTTGGATCGTGGAGTTTTTTTGGGGGTTATGGATAATATTGGTCGCGAAAGCTCGAAAATTTTGGTCTACCCATTTTTGTGAGCGTAGGCTCTGTACAAAATGTCAGCTTCCGAGCACATCTAGAACTTCTTTAGAATTTACATTTATAAGGATGGTATACGGTATGTATGATATGTGATTGATGCTCATTATTTACTCATGGTGTATTTTTTTTCCTGTAAAAGCCTCACCAAGTCTCAAGACTTATTTCATGAGGGTCCTGCTACATCGGAATGTTTGGCCAATTTAGTGCATGTGGGAAGGTAACTCAATTACCTGTAGAGAACCAGCCACATGACCTTGCCAGCTCATTCACGATGATGGGACCGAATTAATCTCTGCTATAGTTATGCTTGGCCAGCAATTACCGCTTTCTGCAATCTCAAATCCTTTTCCATATATTTTACCATTGTCTGTCCACCCAGTTTTTTTTTCTAATTTCTGTACGTAACCACACATACTCGGGGCAAACATTGAAAGTTACACACGGGTGGGTGGGTTCTCAAGCTCAGTTGCTCCACATGCTACCTCTTGGACATGTCGCCGCCCAGTTGGTTTTGGGGTTTCGCAAATCGCGAAATGATCCCACTATTCCTTTTTCGCCAAAATTTGGCTGGAACACAGGCGTGCACCACAAGCCAAGTGAAACTGCGTGAAAGTTCACTTGGGTTTTTGCGTTGCTAGGCAGACCAGTGTACACTCGTGCAAGACAGTGAAATATTACTTGAGGTGTTTGTTGCAAGTGACTCCAGGACCCGTATTGAGAGAACGTGCCTGAGAGTCATTCACTGTGGAGAGATGGAGCTAGGGAATCGGTTGGTCTGCAGGAACTGGTGACGGTTTGAAGGAGGCCTTCATCCAGCAGTGGCTTGATCATGGCCCCGCACCTCCGATTAGCATGGCTGGCTACGTATGGTGCAAAAGAAGCTCAAAACAAATACGTACATTGATGACACCTATCAAACCACAGTGGAGAAGGGAATTTTATTTTAAGCATCTACATTTATATTTCTACCTGTCCTCAATTGCGTAGATCAGGAATATGCCCTTTTTAAGAGCTCCATTGCAACGTGATATTTGCACAGCACATGGTTCATACCACACCGGAGGAATCTGTCACACAAGACATTTAATAGTCATGATGATAATATTTAAATTCGCACTTGTAAGCAAACTCTGCGAATGTGATAACTAGGGTTTAAGAAGTGAGCGGGTTAAACATAAAATACAAGAATTCTAGGGATATATTTGGCAGATATCTTTGGCAATGACACACAAGCATAAACTAATCTCCACGTTAGTCACTTGCACTGCCAGATAACGGCAAAACGCGTGGTCAACTTTCGCTTGTCCAGGTGGCTTCGCCGAGATACAAAAAAAATGCACGTATAATGCAGTACATATGTAAACGAGGCAATACAAACATGTGTTCACCTATGTATAATGGGGGTAAAGCCTTAGAATATGACGTCTGTTTTAATTGCTTCTCAAAGAAATCGGTTTGGATGCCGACATGTTTGCGGTCACATTGCCACCGAGTTGCTGACCCTCGTGAGTGAGAAGCAGTCATAATTATACGGGTGCATAGATGTTGGAGATCACACTATATATACACACTAGCTGTACTACCCGGCTTCGCCCGGGACTTGGATTCACCACGCCCGCCACCTTTGTCTCCCCAGTGGCGATGTTCACACACCACATCAGTTACTCGTTTGATGCTGAGTCGACCTAGGGGAGGCCCAGGACCGGTAAAAATAATCGTCACCGGTGGTGGCCGTGAGCGGGAATCGAACTCGGGTCGCCGGGTTCGTAGCACGGCGCGCTAACCACTACACTACAATGCGTTACGCTTCCACATGCGCGGGTCACGTGACAGATCTGACGTCACAGCTCACTTGCCGTGCAAAAAAAAATCATTATTGAGCTCCCCCCCCCCAAAAAAATCCAAAAGTGTATTTTTATAATTTTTGCATGGTGTACAGTCTGGAAAGTACCAACATGGCAAATTTCAAGTTTGTTGCATGTCGGAAAGTACGCTAACCATTTTGAACAGACCTTTATATATGGAGATTAATGCCTTAACCTTTAAATAAAGCTATCATGTACACAGGTTTATCAAATCAATGCAAAAAAACGTACAATTTTGCGTACAAAGGATTTTGCCTACACCAGTTTAAAACTGTTTTGAAGTGTATACGGCACCCACACTGTAAAGTGCAATGTCCAACTGTAAGTGGGTCAAACTATGCTCTGAAGAATGCCCATTGCTTTTGATGTTAACTCATTTATTTTCAAAGGCAACTCAAAGACGCATGTGGTGAAGTTTTTTTTATTATTAACAAGGGTTTGTCTAAACCAGGGGTCGGCAACCAAAACAACAAAGTTGTATTTATTTCGAATTGGGTAAAAAAAAAACAATTTCAAGAGCCACCAATGCATGTGAATACGAGACGGTGGTCCTTAATACATAAAGTCACGAAGCAACCTTTAAAGAGCGGCAGTGTAGTCCTTGAAGAGCTGCATGCGGCCCAGGAGCCGCAGGTTGCAGACCCCTGATCTAAACCCATTGGTTAACATACACCAAAACATTGCCACTGCGGCAAGTAAAGGCAGCGATTGTGCAATTCCGCATGTTTTAAAGTGGGCAGACCGCCAAGCGATGCCAGTTGCTCGATGAGAAAATGGAACGCAGCACGAGGAAGCGTCACATGGTGATTGGATGGGCTCGGGGAAGTAATGTTTCTACTTCCAGAAGCCACTTACAATGCATTTAGATCCGTATAGTATGTAAACGGAACCACTGTACAGATACAGTGAGCGTATTTTATAGAGGCAGCCTGTTACAGAGACAGAGGAAAACATGGTCTTGCGTCTAGACTTGAGTCAATAGTGTGGATGGCTGGGGATAGGGAGCTCCAAATTATGAAGACATCAGAAGAGAATAAGTGACATCCCACTGAGAGCAGGTTGACTGGGGACAAATACTTGGTTGCAAAGTACTGGCCTTATGATAGCTGGATTGTTGAAATTCAGGTTAGTGTTTAGTTGGCCCATTCCCCTCTCCCCAACCATAGGATTGTGGTGTTGCCATTGTACTTCTGTCAACACAAAAACACCGTTCGATATTTGAGGGTTAGGTGTGTAATGGTGAATCGGTTCGTCGATTTTAAAAAAATCGATGTTTAAGGCCGCTGATGTATGCATCTAATCCCGCACATGAGAATCGATTTGTTTAACGTAAACGCACATTATTTAGTCATGTTACATTTGGTCCAGCAGGGCAAGTAACACCGTTAAAAATTATGCGCAAACTTGGAAACAACTCAAAAGAGATGGTCGAAATGAGAATTCTCTAATAGAATCGTGACTTTTAATTATTCGCCGGTGGGAGGCGTGGGAGGGGGTGTACTGCTTTACTCCTTGGCATTTCTTTTATCGTGCGTGTGCCAAGTGTAATAATGGTAAAGTTTGTAAAGATTCCTTTGTTCCATTTCAATCGCAATATACGTACTACACTCACATTGACACCCTAGGCCGTGTATATGTAACATCACAGGGGTGTAACAATGCATCGATAAGTCAGTTGTGAAGTTCATGATGCATGTGTTGAATGGCATGCATAGCATTGGGCATGTTGCAGTTCCTAAGATGTGTGCAATGGGTTCGCAACTATTCTTGAGTAGAATCGTGGCCAATCGCAACAAGTCATTGAGTCGTGAAATGTTAACTACCTCGCCGGGTATGCAGGAGGTCGTGGATTCGATTCCGACCCTGATGCCTGTATATGCGTTTACAGTACTTGACTACGTGAGAAGCCGCTTCGTTGAGCTGTCATTTGTCACCAGGTTGCTTCTGAAAAAGAGCAATATAGCTTTATCTGGTAAAATAAAAAAAGTTTGAAGAATAGTTTATTTTAGTTTAAACAAGTCATTGAGTCACGAGGGGTGGCCAAATCACATTATTACCACCCCCCCCCCCCCCCCAATTTATAGTACACACATGCATATTGAATTGTCAAAACTTACACTGCTTGAAATATAGCTGTACACAATTTTCGGTGCATCGGAAATTATGTAATTCTCCTTGGTGCCATTTGTGCCCTGTTTGTGTCGCACCGACACAATCGTAACATTTTTTTTGTCAACACGTTGAGTGTATTACCGACTTGCAACAAGATTACCAGTTGTGTGGGCACCACCACCACTGATATCTGTCTCTGGGTTGGCAAACGTTATCCTTTTTTTATGAATAGCACCCGCTGATCCAGGCGCTGCCGAGGGTGGTCTTCATGTGAAGCGTCACTTCGAGAATCACGCGGTGGTTCAGGCTGTTATGTAGATGTATGTGTGTATGTAGAACTTCTTTCGCATTTTACGTAGCCAACCGTGCTAATCGGAGGTGCCAACCGTACGTAGATAGGATAATCTCCATCGTTTGTCGTAAATTATTTTGGCAAGGTTTGTGCAATTGGGCTGTTTAAGACGTGTATTAAAACAATATATAAACGAAACAATTTTGATTTTACCAGGTAAGGCCCACTAAGCTATATAGCTCTTTTTCAGAAGCGACCTGGCCACAAATGATAGCTCAACGAAGTGGCTCATCACATGGAAATGTATAGCAGTATTGCCGAGTGACAGCAGATTTTATTTTTAAGTCTCGGAGGCTCGGGTTTGTTTCTTCACACTATAAAGCATCGTGTAACAGTTGTTCACTTTGCTTAACCCTCACGACTCTGCAGGGCTGTGACGCAGACCTGATTTTTCAATGCGGCCATTGCCATGTGTACATTGCACTCGATCTATAAATTTGCATTGCGATGCCCACAGTGTTGCCTCGACAAAAAAATATACTTTTTTTGATTAAGTTGAAGTCTGTTGGTCGTCTTGTCCCTGACTAAATTGGGAAACGCAGCGTTCTCCTCTCGGTGTTCGTAAGCCGTTTGCACAGAAACAACAGTTTATGAACTGCACAAGGTTGTCAGAGATGCGTCGTTTGCTGCTCATGTATCTTTTTGCGTCGGCAAAAATCGTTTGGCCATTTGCGCGGATGCACTCCCCTGGCGTGCGAGTAAACCCAGCTCTTGTCGTGCCCCGTCCAGATCTCCCTGCTGAACGGCTTCGATTCGCCCGAGCTCATGGAGACGAGGGAGAGCCCTCGTGGCAAGGAACCGGCCGACGACGCAAGCGGCGCGGATGCCGCCGAACCGATCGCCGACGGCCAGCCGCCCACGAAGCCAAGCCTGGGAGCGGACGGATGGGGGAGAGCTGTGTCCTCCAGCATCGACGTCCCCAAGTCCAGGTAGAGAGCCTGTGCTGGTGCGCGGCACGTGCGTTTTTTTTGTTAAAACCAAACGGGGGGATTAAAATGTTACGCCGCGCACGCAAACGTTTCGCGTGTCGGTCAAAATGGTTTGTGCCACCCCTCCTCCCCCTGCTACCGCGGTGTGGGTTAAATGCTTGGTTCGTCACGTTATGTCAGCTGCTAGTTCTGGTGATGGCAAGACCCCCCCCCCCCCCGCTCGCGCACGTTGAATGTGTCGCATTGCTTTGTGCGGTATCGGAGTAATTTGCGTCGTGCGGTGTGGCAGTTGTTATTTTTTTGGTTTCAAGAGTTACTTTTACGCCGAGTGGTTTGCTGCTATGTCTTGTACGGCGCTGCGAGATCCTCGATGAATGTCACGAAAGCCTTTAAATTGGGCAGCAGTGGACAGGGAGTGACCTCCTACCTATTCAGCCTTCGTACAAAAATCTAACTTGCGCTGACGTCGCAAAGTTGTTAGCGTTATTCTTGCAGAAGCGAGCAGGTGTGGGCGCTGCACTCGGAGATGCGGTGTTGTACCACGTCGGAGCGTGTTGGGACATGCGGTGCACACTGTTTGGCCAGCAATGGGTTTATTTTTGTTATCTCACCCACATTCGCATTTGACAAAATATATTTATCCAATGAAATGCACGGTGGTAAGTATGCATTTTCGAACAATAAAATATGCAGCCAGGCTGGACTGATTTCTCAATCAGAGTAATGTTTCAATGTGTGGTGATGAAAAATTCAGTGTTTATCCAAAAAACTGACAACTCCTCCCGAGCATAAACTAAATTAACGCATCGTAACGAGGCAGCACAGAAGGCATCCGTTTTTGCTGGCTTTCTGGATTCTTGAATAAACATCTACCCTGGCAAGGTTTCTGTAAGAAATGGGGGCCCAGTGTGCAAAGAGTGATTGGTTTACAAAGTCTGTATGTGATTAGTTTGATCTTGACACATTTTGTTTGGACCAGTCTTTGCAATTCATATTGGATCTATAAAATAACGCACTTCAAAAACACCTTTAGGATGAAGATTGTTTAAGTCGGTAGCTATGTTTTGCAGTGTACGCTTGCCATTTTTATAAAATGTGCAGCATACTAATTACACTAAGTGTGCATGCTCAAGTTTTATCTGAACAAGCTATGGCTCCCGTAATTTTGATTTGGAATCATTTGAAGTCGTTAGCTCAATGCACTGAGTGACAACTGGACTTGTTGTGAGTCCCCAAACCTCATGAGCAACACTGCATAGGGAGGTCTCCATCCAGCAGTGGATTAAAAAATCAGCTGCAGCCATGATTATTCTACTGCTGGATGAACGCCTCCCCAAACTGTTGCCATCTCATCATTTTTATTTCCTAATTATTGGCTCCATGGAGCGATGCATCAACGTAATTGGCTAAATGCTCTGGAATAACAAAACAGAAGTCGTGTAACAGTTTTGTTTTTGGGGTGAAATTGATTTTCAAACGCAGGAAATCTGTCGCTGCGTAAACAGCCTTGTTTGATGCCATGGTTGTCCCACCAAAACGATGACTGCCAGTCAAAAATTATTGAGCGGAGAGTGATTGGATCTGCATGGGCTTGCCGAGGCCAGTCCGGAGCTGTACAGCATTTTCCACACTTTGGATAGAACTCTGGAGAGAGAGTGCGTGTGTATATTTCTAAATTATTAAATGCAGACATCAGCTCTGTCAGGGTGCATGCCTCTGCGATTAGTTCTTTGGACACGAGTCTTGCGTTGCTTCTTCAGTCGGGTGTTTTTGCCGCAGTCTCTTGTCATTTGTTTCCTCCGTGTTGTGTGTTTGGATTCAACAGTTGCTACACAATCCTGTATCGATACACGCCATGTATCGCCTGCGGTCTTTCGTCGACCAATATTTAATTATATATGTTTTATATAGTGGCGTCATAATATGAAACTGCGTCGAACAGCAGCGCCCAATCTGCAAACACAGAGGCGCATACACACATATATATATATACACACACATACATATAAAGATGGTTTCAGCCAATTAATGAGTATACACGTACGGAGAAACGGGAGCACGCGTAGAAAAACTTGCAATTTTAAATGGAAAGGCCCACAACTTGTAACTGTTAATGCTCGTTTGTGATCACAAGCGGTGCTTCCCCCCCCTCCCCGCCACATCATGCTAAATACCATGCCATTTTTAACTTCCGTATTCAAAGTTTGGTGTAGCGCAGCAGTCGAGCACAATGGAGGTGTGACCGTGCTAGAATCTGAACTGCGTGACCTCTCGCATTAAGGCCGCCCTCCATTCCATGTGGTTGGCTTCTGCTGGAATGACCTCGCTTCTGTCGTGGCAGATAATCGCTTGAGCGTTTTTGCCTCGCGCTCACAGGAAACGCTTTTAAAAGGAAACTTTTCCGCGTCAGTTTGTATCGCAAGGCAGCTCGATTTGCGAGGGTAACATGCAATTATGACCTTGGCCGTTTTAAACGAATGCAGGCGTGCGATGTGCTTGCGTGCCGATTTCCCTAGCAGTGTGTGAAATAGTAGCAGGGATAATTGAAAACGACAGGAATTAAAAACTGTCAAACTAATTAACCCAGTATGAAATTTCATAATGTGTGTGTGTGTTTTTTTTCCCCTTTTGCTTTCAGAAGCCTCCACAATTGAGAGTAATTTCAACAAACAAGCATGAAACTTAAGGAGAGGGTACCTTTCTTTTCCTCTTGACCCGCCGATTTGTCCATTTTTACATTTCCCTCGAGTGCTTGAGCCCTGTTAGAGATTACCGCCGTGTGACATCGGTTGAGCTCGATTTTCGAAGTGCAGTTGTGTCCATCACATTAATGATTAAGCCTGGCTCTCTCTGGGTGTGTGTTCGGTGTGGGAAGCCGTGAAGACAGCGCTATTAACCCAGTGACCTGGATTCGATCCCCGGCTCTCAGTGGCTGCAAAAATAGTAAATGCAACTTGGCCTGTGCCCTCCTCTAGGTCGAGTTGACTTAAATCGAGACTATGGTGGCCTTGCGTGGTGCTGACCACACCAACATCGAGTTTGCTGTACCAGCCTCGGAGTTTGAGCCTGCTAACATTTTGCCCTACGCCCCCAGTCTATTTAAGGATAAATGGATCATCTTTGTCTTTTGTGTGTCAACAGTGGGCATGTGCTTGTATCAAGAGCGTTCTTATTCTGTGTTAAACAATGACTGTGAAAACATATGCTCAACCTCACGCAGGATATTATTTTGTGGTATATTCTGGTGGTAGTTTGTACAAGAGCACAAGCGCAAACTTTGCCGACTTCTGCTCAAAGTAATTAATTTTCACGACTAATTTTTGGTTCGCCAAAAATGCCCCAAGTCGTCCGTGAAATTTTCCAATTATTTTGCGCTGTAATAATTCTCTCCCATGCATTTGGCCTCTGCAATTAATGAGCCCCTTGTACTATGCTTCGCGACATAATGCCACACCAAAATAATCTCCGTGCATAGTTCAATTCAATGCTTGCAGTAATCCTTGGTGTAAATGTCTGGCCACAAATATCTTTACATGCCCTATGAAATGTAACCAAAGCAGTTTGTAAATATTGGCACCTAATTTTACATGTTCTATCCTAAGGCCATAAAATTCGTTTCAAAATTAATTACCTACTATAAGCACCAATAAATGTCTGTCCATCCCGCGTGTGACGTCACTCCACATGAGGCCCACCCCCTCATTAATATTCATGAGTGGGTGGATTTTTTACACTACGCATAGGAAGGTCGAACTGTACTAAATCAAGTTGCTTCAAATATGACGTTTCTTTACAGAAAGTGATGGTAAAAAATAAATCTACGCAGCACAGAGCTACATCCGTGTGTGACGTCACTGCAAAAGAGCCACCCCCCCCCCCCTTCATTAATATTCATGCCCGCGTGGAAATTTACACTAACGCACAAGAAGGTCGCGCACTTCACATGCCACACTCCTCCCCTCATTAATAATCATGAGCGGGTGGGGTCACTCCACATGCCGCACCCCTCCACAATAACCACGAGGGGGTGACGTCACTCCACATGCCGCACCCCTCCCCAATAACCATTCGCGGGTGACGTCACTACACATGGGGAACCCCTCCCCCCTCATTAATAATCATGATCTGAACAATTTTTCTATTTAATGTTTTAGATTTAATGCAATATACACCCGTACTTGGATGGGCAAAATAGCTAGTAAGTATATATTTATCTACGGTAACCTAAAAAAAACAGAGGGGGGAGGGGGGAGGGTCATCCCAGGGATATGTGACCAATTATGTTTGAGTGGTGCTGTTGTGGCATTATTGGCATAGGCAGGCGCGTGTGACGCATGCCAACGTGCACTTGATTTATTCCCGTGAAGCTCGCCGAAGCCTGCTATTGCTTGCGAGCGATGTCGGGATTGTCGTGATACGGCGATACCGCATTCTAACGTACAATACAAGGTCCACTATAATTGTTTTGTCCATTTAGCAAAATATCACGTTGCGATCAAACTTTTCCGCGTTGGTAAAAATGTGGATTTCATTTCCTGCAAAAATTTGAAACGGCACCCGATTTCTTTGAAGTTCAAAGTAATTATCACTTAAATGCCTACGAGCTAAATGAGTGTTTTCACAATGTTTTTGGAGTGATTGATAACATAGCAATTGAGACATTTTTTGTCATTTCCTCTCATTGTATCTTGTATAACTTGACATCGTGTGCATTAGACGGTAAAAGTACAGTGATTAGAAGACTTACTGCAGGCTTTTTTTTTGCAAATTGCAGTTTAAAACTCTTATGTACAGTCATCTTCATTACTGGATGTACATCAAATAAAAAAACGATGCAATAAGTGCTAAATACGATTTATGTTTCGGATAAAGTAATATCTGTTCAGGAGGTGGGTTATTCTGATTTCCCAGATTGTATCTGTGACTTCCTTGATCTTGTTCTGATGTTTAACGTTGTTCCAAATGAAACGTCTATCTTATCGCTAAAATTTGGTTGCCAG